GGGGAGTAAATGAGCAGATGAAAATAGCTGTGGTGTTACAGAGAAGAGTTTTGGTGATTAAAATGATTTCCTCCCTGTAGGTTACATGAAGGGAGGCTATCAGAAGATTTTTCTCAAGCAGCATTCACTGTGGCTCCAACATATATCAACAACAACTTTTGCCACCAAGAATAACAGTCTAGAAGAAAGTAAAGTCTCTCAGGCCTCCTGAAAATAATAATCATAGCATTGTTTTTGCCATGTAAAGAATAACAATTTTTACCATTTTGCATCTGTGATGATTAACGATCCTCAAACACAACCAGAGTTAGGTGGTTTTAGCCATTTTATTTTTCTGAGCAACTAATGAGTCACCAGCAGAGCTCCACATGAAGTTTAATCCATTTTTGCTGCCTTACAAAACTTCTGCAAAACATTGATTGTCTCCAGTTTGATCAGCAGAGAAACACACGACAGAAGAGCAGAGGAGCGACTCGTGTATTGACCGTGCAGCTAATCCTTGGGTTCCCTTGAGGTTGAACTTGAGTACCTCTCTCTTGCTGCTCAAGGAGAAAACACTAACCTCTATATCAAGTCGCACTTTGAATCCAGCATTAATTGATATTGAATTTTCCAACGCTCTGATGCCTGCTGTTTTCATCCCAGCGGCATTACCTATTGAGCTGTGCCCTCTGCCGTGTCAACATGTTCGTAATCTTTGCAGTACGACTGGATGAGATCTGTACTGTCTGACTACAGAGGAAGGTGAAAGGATGGATCTGATCTGATGCTGCCTTCAAGTGCTTGAAGGAATCATGTCAAGCTCAGCTAAGTCATAAAAATATCAAGTCCAGCTTGTTTGAGTCAGAAATGCATCCATCAAAGAGCTGACCTTTTTTATAATACATTAAAATCTCTTTTTCCTGGTTGAATGCGGTCAGGTTATGTTGCAAAAACTGCTAAAAGGTTTGATTAAGAATCCAAGTGGCATCAAAGGTTCTACTCCTTTAAAGCTACAGACAAACATTGAATTGTATTCATACATATCCCATTAAGACCTCTGCAAACTGAACCCAGAAAAACGATTTCACTAGTGACAGGTGATTTGCAAGGGGCTCACTGAGTGATCTGTAGGCCTGCATGACCGTGGCTTTAGCAATCTTTTTTTTTTCAGCGACTGGCATCAACCACATTTCAGGGAATATTCATTTTAACCTCACAGCAGTTGTCGTTGGATGGCCGTGTATTAGACTACGTTCACACTGTAGGTCTTAATGCTCAATTCTGATTTTTTGATCAAATCTGATTTATTTATTTTTTGCCTGGTTGTTCACACTACAAATAAAATGTGACAGCAAACGTGCTTTAATATGAATGGTTCACGGCCCTCAAAGTGGCCCGCATGTGCAAAAGAAGACGTCGCACACAACACGTTCTGTTTACGGAAGTAAAAATGGCGGCTACAGAGCTAATGGGTGTTGCTGCAGCAGTCTATCAATTTCTGCACAATCGTAACCGACAGAATTTTGACAAATTAATTAGAGAAAGAAGGACACTGAGATAAAAAGCCCGTGCTTTAACAATGGCCGCCATGCTTTCTCGTTTGTCTTCTCCGGCGCTGATAATCGGCTTCTGTCTTGTGTCAGTGAAGTAAAAGACGAATTTAATGCGACATGACCATTCAAACAGCAGTTGCTAAACATCAGATATGTATCGGATTTAGTACCAGAAGTGACCCAGGTCAGATTTGAAAATATCGGATTTGTGCTGTTCAAACTGTCATACCATGATGGGTCACACAGGGTCACAAAAGTCGGATTTGATGCGCTTTCGCCTGCAGTGTGAATGTAGGAAAACGTGTATTTTGGACAAAACTGGGCAAAATTAACGCTGTAACCAAAACTGGCTTTTCTCACTATACAGTGAATTATACTGTATATCGTATATGGACCAAGGAGGCTGCACCAGT